AAGTTTATATAATTATATAATTGTTTACCTGCAAAAAGACTGTTTGACACCATAATCAAGAAAGCTAAAAAAATGCTGCTCTCAAAAGTTGCATTAAAAACCAGGGAATTGCAAAGAAGTAAAGTTGATACTCGAAGAACGCTTGGAAGCAACATAAATTAAACTTGAACATTTTTCAAATAGAAGAACACCTTGCAATGGAATTTGACACTGTAACGGGAACCCCACATTTTGGTTTACATTTTTTTTCCAAAGTTTATATAATTATATAATTGTTTACCCACAAAAAGACTGTTTGACACCATTACCTTCAAGAATGCTAAAAAATGCTGCTCTCAAAAGTTCTATTTAGAACCAGGGAATTGCAAAGAAGTAAAGTTGATGCTCGAAGAACGCTTGGAAGCAACAAAAATTAAACTTGAAAATTTTTCAAATAGAAGAACACCTTGCAATGGAATTTAACATTGTAACGGGAACCCCGCATTGTGGTTTATATCTTTTTTTCAAAGTTTATATAAGTAAAATTGAATGTAAACCGTTTCGTAGCAGCGAACTTAGTGCTTCAGTGGTTGCGTTTTGGCCGAGAAAAATTGCAGTGTAATCAAAAAGTGCCGATCTGCTGTTGGTTTAAAGAGGACGCCGGTCGCGGAAATTTCGTTGGTTCCGTTATTTGTTTAATATAAATAGCGAAGCGCAAATTAAAAAAAAAGACAGAAATAGCGTAAAGGTAGAGGTGGAATGGCTACAGTTTAAACTCGGGTAAGCAATTTAGTTGTGAAACGTGCAGTTTTTCGGTGATCAAGCTATGTCACATTGAAGTTAGTCAAATGGTGCGTTAATTTATGAAAATGGAGCAATCATTTAATCGCGGAGATAATACAGGCGTGTTTCAAGGGGGCATACGAAAAAAGACTGGCGCCCACAAATTGTTTTGTATTAAGGAATACGGTATATAACTCCAAGCGCACTTATCACATATCGAAAAATTTCGACGACGGAAAAAAATAAATTGCGTGGGTAGCACAGCAATAATATAATAAATGAACGTTGAAGTATGTTTTGCATCGACAAATATTTGTAAGGCGTGGATTGAAGCATCAACCTAGATCTTTGACCTGGCGAAAAATTGTGAACTTATTGAATCCGAGACGACCCGTATTTTCTTCCATTGTAAACACTGATGGAGTTTGTCCATGTCTCGTCAAGAAGCGGCAGTTACCAGAGGACGTTGATCTTGACCCAGGGTAATTTATTCACCACGAAGGGATCTTTCGATCTCTATTACGTTATTAAGAGAAATGAAATGGCAGCGGCGTGGCAGCGCTGCTAAAAGAGTCAACGCTGTCGTGGAGGCTCATCCGTAACAATTCTCCCCTCCTCCTCCTAGCCTCCAGCGGGAACTGGTGGGGCTGGTGGAGTTGGTGCGGATCGCAGGTGGTTGTTCCTACGGACCCAATAGGCGTTGGTTTCAGGAAGTTCTCGGTTCCTCTCCATTTCCCGTACCCCTACTTAATCATGGGTGACCGCATGGTCGTGGTTGGCGTAACGGCTTCTGTAGCAGTGTTGGTTTCGATGGTCTCTTTTGGGATTCAGCCTTGGGTGGAGGTTTTTGAGTTCTCGTCATCTTCCTGGTCTGATCAGATCGTAGCCCAAGAAGTCCTTGCTTGGGGTGTACGCGCACCCATGCGTTGGGAGATTTTCCGGTGAGGTGCGTGCGCAGCCCCTTTTCACCCCTTGGCTCCTTCGTTCGGGTAAATTCCGTACCGTTGTCAGAGACGATTGACCTCCATATTCCAAACCACACGAACGCTTCGTGTTTCAGTATGTTGGTAACGTCGGGGGTTGTGGTTTGTCGCAACAGAAAGCCCCCCCCCCTCCTCCCAACCGTTATGACCTACACCTGGCAGAACCTGGTGGGCGTGGTGGTGTCTTATTCTAGGTCTATCGACACGAATTTGCAAGGGAGCGTTGGTTGCCTGGGTCGGAGAGTCGCGTCCTCAACTGAGCTGCCCTTTGCGGTAATGCAAATCTAACAGCTGCGAATGTACCGGGTGACCCAATAAGACCGTTCGTCGTATGACAGGGGTAACAAAATTTATTGGGTAAATCGGTCATGAAGAATCGCTGGAAAATATTTTCAAATTCTACAAATAACCACCAGAGGGCGTAACTGCAATCTTAAATTTTAAAATTGCATTTTCTTTCAATTTCGCATAATAAACTAAACATTCTTTTTTTTTACATTTTTAAAGAGAACCAGTTTATCTATCATTTTCGTAAAAACAAAAACTCAGTTATTTCAAAAACAAAGATGGCGTGACGCGTTCAATTGTTTTTGCAGTAACCTGCTTTAACTTCTTAACCGTTTGACCGATTATAACAAATTTGGTATCGTTGAAAAGAGCATTCCTTGGGTAATGAGAATCGACCAAAATATGGTTAATTTAGTTGAATCCTTCTTCGATAGGGGGCTAGTATTTCCGGTATTTGTCGATGGCGCGAAAGATTGTTTGGAAAAGGACCCTACACTTTTCGGTAGGCCTTGGAAAATGAAACATATGAAACAGGTTGAATATAAAAATAATAACTGCCGTAATTTGTAAATTATTCTGCAGTGTTTTCATTCAGAAAGTGCCGTTTTTTTGAATTTGTAATCTTCTAAAATGCCGATTTCTAACCAAGAAGCATTTAATATGCTGGCGGCGATGGTTCGTGGTCGATTCGGATAACGCAAATAGAAGATGCGGGCAGCGATGGTCGGATTTTGAAACCACTCAAAATATATCGCCAGCATATTAAATGCTTCTTGGTTAGAAATCGGCATTTTAGAAAAGATTACAAATTCAAAAAAATGCACCTTCTGAACGAAAACACAGCAGAATAATTTACAAATTACGGCTGTTATTATTTTATAATGCATCCTGTTTCATTTGTTTATAATTTTCCAAGACCTACCTAAAAGTGTCAGGGTGCTTTTCTTTCGCGCCATCGACAAATACCGGAAATGCGTCAAATAAGATACAATTTAAGCATTTTTTTAAATTAATTAATCTCATTTTCCCAATATTTGAGGTTAGGAACGAGATTTTGAAAAATGGGTTTCACTGGCCTTTTTGGATGTTATTAGGCTACTTTTTCATAAAGAAAAGGTTATATCATTCCATTTGATTTTTTTTTAGGATTTTGAATCATAGTGTCAAAACTAGCCCCCCTGGCGGGGAAAGATTCAACTAAATTAACTATATTGGTTGATTCTTATTGCCTAAGGAATGCTCTTTGCAACGATAGCAAATTTATTACAATCGGTCAAACGGTTAAGTAGTTAAAGCAGGTTATTGCAAAAACAATTGAACGCCCCACGCCATCTTTGTTTTTGAAATAACTAAGTTTTTGTTTTTACGAAAATGATAGATACACTGGTTCGCTTTAAAAATGTGAAAAAAGAATGTTTAGTTTATTATGCGAAATTTAAAGAAAATGCAATTTTAAAATTTAAGATGGCAGTTACGCCCTCTGATGGCCATTTTTAGAACTTGAAAATATTTTCCAGCGATTCTTCATGACCGATTTACCCAATATAATTTTTTTTACCCCTAAGTCATACGACGAACGGTTCTCGAGATATGGCCGAGGAACAGTTTTATTGGGTCACCCGGTACTGGCGAGCCCTAGCTTCCAATTTTGAGAAGTGATATGTTTGGGAGCGGTTTCCTCGATTTCGGGCTGCCCGGAGGTGGGGGAGACGTAGTAGGCGCCGAAGACGTCCTCGTGGTTTTCTCTGTGGATGACGAGTAGCGGGACCCTAGGGGCTGTGTTTGTAGAGATGCTGTTCGTCGGCGGTGTACTCTAGCAGGAATTTTCTTTGGATTTTGTTGGCGGCCCTTTCGTTGCGGATCGCTTCTTGAGCATCGGGGTTGGTTCGGTCACTTCGACGTTTCTTGGTCCCCTCTATTGCGAACTGAAGCGGATGCTACCAAGGATGTCGTGGGTCTCGCCGGCTTCGAAGCGGCTAGTGAAGTGACGCTCAGGGTAGTAATGGCAGAGAGACAGGGAAGCTTGCCTCTTGGGAGCGTTGGCGTCCTAAAACTTCGCACTTCCGTCCCTACCAACCCATCCCTCTGATGGAATTTGAACCTGCACACGATTTCTGACGGTTTCGGAGCGAAGTTTCCTTCACTTTCAATGCGTTCCCATTGGTTTTTACTTTACATCATATGACTCAAAGCTAGTAAGTGGCATTCACAGGGTCCGTTCATTGCACAAGACTAAAGTGATGGTATTTTACTAGGACAGCTAAAGAGGAGAGTTACGTTTAGAACACGTTAGTAAAGTATAAGTGGACAAGCCTATTTGAGGGGTGCCTTTTTCAGCTTGTTGCTTTTCCATTACACATCATGTTTTCCTATGGGTAATTATGTGTAGTACCACTACAACATTAGTAAGAGCGCGGTTCACGTTACATTCCCTTCTCGATTCGGTTAACCGATTATGAAAGGTGATAGTCTTTAATAGGCAACACGAACAAAAAGTTTTAAAGGGTTTAAGGCCATCTGCTCCCCTCGAACGTGCTCCCAAATTAATAATTAATTAATTTGCACGAGATAGCGGCGCAACTATCGCTTCTTATAGGCGTTACTTTATTGAAAACCTGTTATCTGCGAGAGCAGAATTTTACTCGAGCTCAATATTGACTTTTTGGAGAGCAAGATACTTACACGTTATCGCTCGACGTAAAACCGCCCTCGCAACTAAGTCACTTCGATTTGAAAGGATTTGCAAATGTGGTCGTCTGCATAATCATGCAAACCTGTTTTGTTCGATTAGATGATTAATAACGTACAGGTTAGTGGAGTCAAAATATGATATGACAAACTTGTATGGTTGCGCCATGAGCTTGCCTCGCTGTCACTATCAGACGTATCCATGAATGTATCCCACCTCACACGTCATTAGGTGGATTCGTGCCGTATAGTGTAATGAAAACTGACGTTTCTTTTCAGTGCCCCCACGAATACACTACGCTACGTCAAGTGGCAGAGTGGAAGTGAAGAAGGGAACGTCGGTTCGATTAGAATGCAAGGCATCCGGAAATCCCGTACCCAAAGTGACGTGGTCGCGTAGAAATAATTTGCTACCGGGCGGCGAGCAGACCTTAGTTGCGCCGCAGCTCAATTTGGAAAGGGTGGACAGGCATCAGGCCGGAATTTACCAATGTACCGCAAGTAATGGCGTCGGCGAGGACGTCACACAGCAAATCGTCCTTCACGTCCTATGTAAGTAATTTATTCCATTAATTTAGTTCTAAGGAAAATCTCGCGCGCGCGTGTAAAACGCACGCGAGCGTGGAGGATGAAGTGCCGAGCCGGGGAGCGGTTAATCATCCGTCTGCCGGCTTTAATTTGGAGAGGCCATAAACCAGATTGAGTGGTGAGCAGTGTTATGCACACCTAGGGACCCCTTTACCTGCAACTTCGCGCTACCGCTATACTGCTTACCGCACCCATGCGATCTAATTATTATCGCGCCTTGACCGCGCGCTTTTAAATAATCCACGACCCACGCTTAGTCGTGCGGCTCGCACGTGCCCCGCATTGGAAGAAAGCGAAGGTATATAGATTCAATTTATAATTAAGACGCCTTTAAAAATTAAAAACGTTTTAAGAGATACGTTGCGGTTATATAAATCTTGCTCCCTTTGAATGTGTGATAACTAATTTTATGGCGCAGACGGGCACGAAATGGAATAAAAATAATATTCACGTGAGCTTTTGCACTTACTCCGCTTTGTAATAATAAAAACTATTTTTATGTAAGCGCTTCATGCTGCAAATTCAACCGTTGTGGTGCCAAATGCTATTAAACCAAATTACAAACCATTGTTGTCAAACGCGATTTTCTTCAGCGAATCCGTACATTCTATTAAATAACGTTTACTGAGCGATGTCGTTTACTTAATTTCATCCGCATTATCCGTCTAACTTTAATTATTCAAATTACTGCCACGAGTGTCTGTTTCAATATTTAAATGTCACAATTATGCTCGTTGTATAAACTAAATTTGACCCGTACAAGTTTGTACCATCTAAATATTAACATACTTTGCGATAGTGCTGCAATCGAAATTAATGGATGCAATCTAAACTTGCTGCTCATCAACCGTCTGCCGAATTCAATATTTAAAATATTAACCAGGCATTTTTTGTATGTAAGATGCAAACGACTTCTAAAGACTATGTCCAATTTGATCCGTACAGGTTTGTTCCATCTATTAGAAACGTTAGTGGGTTCTTGTCTGAACTGAAATGGTAACGCCATCAACGGTTTGTGCCGGAACTAAAGTATAATCTGATTATTACTTACTAGCTCAAAAGCTTATGCCTAACTACAATAATTCCTAGCAAACAGAGCGCCCACATTATAGTAGTTTCAGCAAACTTAAAGCCCCTCATATCCTTGAGGTTCGTGAGACGCTTGTGACTACTGATAACAGAGAAAAACCAGAGGTACTTGACTTAGAATCTTTAAGAACCTCGAAACGCTTGAGGCCCCTAGGGTTGGCGAGGCTAACGAATTTTAAGACTAAGTGCACTTAACCCCCAGGTTCTACGCGAACTTTCGTAACACGGAAATAAAATAAACACTGTATGGACATGGCCACCGGAATGGCTGCAGTTAAGGTTAAAAGTAAGTTTAAGGAACAACGGGTCAGGTGAGCGCGTGGTAAAAATTCTGAGGAAGTGACTACTGCACTAGAAGTGACTCAAATTTGGTTTAAAATAAGTGTGAAAAAGTGCATCGAAAATTACAGTCTTAGTGGTCAAATTCACAAAATCTTCAGGTTGCTAAGATGTAATAATTTCCTCAGGTTCTTTAGACACTTGACGACTTCAAGGAGCTTAGCACCTTTGCGATTCTGAAAACGCTTGAAGTGCTTCTTATGATCACGTGCTTCTTATGATCATGCTGTTTAGAATTTTGAGAGACTTCAATCAAATCTGAACATCTTGAGGTTCTTGAGAACTTGGCACCCTTTCGAAAGGCTTAAGGTTCGCAAGACACGTGTAACTGTAGGTAATTTTGACACAATTGAGACTTTTGGTACGCTTATCGTACAAGGTTTTTGAGGCACTGAATCAAAATGACATCTTTAGGTTCTTGAGAACCTATAGTTTTCTGAACTCCTTATGAATCTTAACACCCCAAAAAAACTTAGCACCCTTGAAACTCTCAAACACCTCAAATGATTCTTGCAACCCTTGAAACTTTTGACATCGTTTCAAGCCTTCTGCCTGTTTACATTTTTGGGACCCGCAGTTCAATCAAAAATAAATCAGAACAGCATCCTAAGGCTCTTAAGCACCTTCGAAAAATCCAAGATTTTTACGATTCCTCAAATCCCTTAAATTTTTGTGTTTTTAGTGCATGAATACTCAATCTTGATCACACAATGAATTGATTGACAATGACAAACATTTATTCTGAAGTACATGCAAGAAATAAAGACCAAATCCCTGAAAGAAAAAAAAAGCTTAAAAATCGTGTACATAATACCCCGCACGCAGGCGATCGACAATTTAAAAAAATCTTAAATTACTCCTTTTTTTTCTTAAAAATTTAAGTAATCTGGATAAACAAAGTTTGAGATATTCAGCTGCCAGCTTCGGGAAATTTCACTTTTCCTTTTTTAAACTAAACTCAATGACTCGTGATGAGTGAGATAAAAAAAAATTTCGGTGGCTGCTCGGACGGTGGAAACTTTTGACGCATTGAGAACTACATTTTGTATTCTGGATTCAGGATTTCCGAGTCCGAACGCCTGAGTCCAAATTCTGTACACCTCTGGACCATGAATATTAGAACCTGCATTCCGTATTCGATATTTGAGCATATCTGGCAGTGAGCCTGTTTCTACCTTCTAGAATCCTTTGAAAGTACTGATACTTTTGATGATTTTGGTTGATATAGAATACCGAACCTGGATCGGTCAAGGTCGTTCGCCACCTGGTGATGACCCTAGAAATTAGGTCAAGATGAAGTTCAAAGGTAGTCTGCCACGTGTCGGTGACTTTGTAAAATAAGTGAAACTCCACGATTGCTTGCCCGAAAGGTCAACAACTCTATTTTGTGTGGTGTCATATTTTATCTTCAAGGTCATCAGAGGTAAACGGTCTTATTTTTGTAGGTCAAGGTAAGGTTTAAAAGACCTTGAAAAGTAGGCCAAGGTGAAGTTCACGTGGTATACGGTACCTCCACCTGGTGGTGACTTTGGGAAGTAGGTAGAAATGATTGTTAAAGGTTGCCACCTTGTAGGGCCGGTTCTGGATTAGTCCAAGGTCGCTCGCCACGCGGTTGTGACTTTAAAGAGTTGGCCAAAATACATTTTTGGTGGTCGCTTGCCTCTTGGTGATGGCTTTGGAAAATTGGTGAAGGTGTAGCTCAAAGCTTAAGAGCGGTTGTTCAAACTATTGGTCAAAAGTCGCTCAGTCCGCTGCTTCGCTGCTGGAGGTGACATTGGCGAGTAGATCGACGTGACGTTCAAAGGTCAATTCAGCCCATACCAATGTGTCAAAAGGGCGGTGGGGTCTGAGGGTGAGTGTATGGGGTTATTGATCGTCAGTTCGCAGTAACGTTCTACTTGGTTAGTCGCGCGAAGTAGCGATTATCAGTCCCCGCATTTGTGCAAATCGATACATATTGACATCATGAACATTCGTGAACAAAACAAATGATTGATAACAGCGATATCCTAACTCAAACCATGTAAAATTTTATAAGGTGCAATTCGGGTGCTGTCAAACGCTCTGCTGACGATGACTTTTAAATGCCCACCGTTCAAAGTTCAAAGTGTGGGCGCCATTCAAAGTTCAAGGTTTGTTCACCGTTCATAGTTCAATGTTTGGTCGCCGTTCAAAGTGCAAAGGCTGGTCGCCGTTCAAAGTCCAAAGTTTGTGTTATGCATTTACATGCGTGAAAGTTATCATTCACCTTTGTTGACCCTGAAAATCAAAGATGACACCACAAAAATACAATAATTGACCTTTAATGATCTTGAATACCGCCTAAAATGACACCATTGACTTCTGTTGACCTTAAAAATGAAATATGACTCCACAAAATAGGGTTATTCGCCTCTGATAACATTCAAAATAAAATATGCAAAGAACTGACCTTTAATCACCTTAAAATTCAACCAATACCAAGACAAAAGTTTATTCCGATACACGTGTGACAAAACTAAAACGAAATCTCCGCATAGTTTGTTTGGACATAATACTCCGCACATTCGGAGTCGATAATTAAAAAAAATCTTCTATTCCCATGTCAAACTGAATTCAATGATTCGTGAAGATGAAAAAAATTTTCGGTTGCTATTCGGAGAGTTGAAACTTTTGACTTTCACTAAGCAGCCTACTTTTTGGTTTGGTACTTAACCTCTTCTACACACTAATTTGAAATCGAAGAACTGCGTCTTCAAATAGGGTTAACTGCCAGAGATTTAACGTAATATATGTATGTTATACCTCCATAGCTTCCGGCTAATGAGAATGGTCATTCATATGGTTTGAATTTTATTGATTTACGGCGATTATCAAGAGCCCCTTCAATAATATCAATATTACAACCTTGGTGCGGAATACCTCTATAAATTTGTGTTACGTGAGCATGGTCGCGAACCAGAAAAATGTGACAATATATTCCTGTGCCGATTTAGCTTTAATGCTTCATGGATATGATCATTATAGTGGAATATAATAATAATCCCTCTTTTTCACCTTCAATTACTCTAATTAGTTGTACACCTCAGATTAGCTACGTGGACTTCGGCGCGCATTCGATATCGATAGCTATAAAAGTAGCGAAACCACGTGCATACAAAATTGCAAATAATTAAAGCACGACGCGGGCGTAAAAGCGAAATGGGGCATGTTAACATTTTAAAGCTTGAGGTAATTTGACGTGGTAAATTTTATATAAGCTCAACTGACCTACTTTCCGTAGTTAGTTACACAAATATGTTGCAGGGACTGTCAAAATCTAAGGAGAAATGCCATCATGACCGAACGAGATTGCGTCAATAAAATTGCACTAGACCTTCCATTATGCAGCATTACAGTTTCGACACGATAAACTCCAATTGTACTTGTCCACTGGGGGCGCAAGATTGTGACCGTCGAGCCATCTATTATGTTCCCTTTCAAAATCTAGCGAATTATAAATGTTTCAAGTGTACTCGCATTCCTCTAGACTCATCTCGCTTTGGCAGCCATTTACT